CACCGGGCCCGGCCCGCGCCGCCCACCGGGCCCGCAGCATCCTCCGGAGGCCGACACCTGCCGCGGGGGGAGGCCCCGGGCAGCGGCATCACGGCGCGGGCCCGGCGGGGAGGGGGCTGCGGCGGGGGCAGCCCGAGTCCCCTGAGGGGGGGTCCCGGTTCCCCGCAGCGGGACAGGCCCGGCTCGGAGGGAGGGCGATCGCGGCTGCTTTGCCGCGGGGAGATGCCCATTGCATCAGCCCGGGACGGGCCCGGCTCTGAGGGATCCCGTTCCTCCGGGCCCGCCCGGAGCCATCCCCGCACCGGCACAGGCCGGGGGCTGCGGGCGCTCCGGCTCCGGGCAGGGGTCGCGGTTTGTTCGTGCTGCCTGAGCCGGGGCGCGGCGGGCTGGGGTCCCCCGGAGCCCCCCGGAGCATCCCCGAGCCGCCGGGCTCGCCGTGGCCGCTGCTGTTCCCGTTACGCTCCGCTTGTCGTAGGTGCAAATTGCTGCACTTGCAAGGGCTCCCTTGGCTGGTGATGTCTCTGCAAAGCCCATCAGCAGAAATCGCCGGCGTAACCAATGCGAGATGCCTTTCCTGGTCCAGATTCAGGGATCTCGGGGCTGTTGTGTTCTTGTCTCACCTGCTTGTGTCAGTGTTCTGTTTTTAACTGTTTCAAGACGATTTACGAGCCTGTTTGCGGCGGAAGCTTTGCAAGAACAACAGAGCGCACGGGTGGATTTGCAGGAGGAGGTTCCCTTTTATTCCTGTGTGTCAGGAGAGGGTAAATATTTGTTTTGAATTGGTGGTGCTGCTGGTTGGATGGAAAGGACAGGCACCTGCCTGGGAAGGTGTGGGGCTGGAGCTCCTGCTCACCTGGATGTTGGATGTTCCTGCTGGAGTTAGCTGGCACCAGAGTGAGGATGATGTGGAGGTGTCTGTAGTCACTGGAATCATCTTGTGTGGCTCGGTATCCCTTGGGATTTTGCCTTCAGTGGTCAGTCCCTGCTGCCACTCCAGAGCTGGGTGTTCCTGAGGGACTTCTTGCAGTCTGCAATTACAGGTTGTCCTTCAATTAACTCACACGTTGAGCTCTCACCTTCTGCAGGAGGAGTCAATATCCAGATTCATTTCTGAATCCCATTTAATTTTCTCCCACACCTGAGCGCTCCCAGCCCAGGTTTTGCTCTTGGAAACCCATCACACTTTCAAGAACCGGGTTTTGAGGAAAGAACCCAAGATGAATAACTTTTCTGAGCATTCTGGGTACTGAAGTGATGGAAACACTGACCAGAGAGCTGAGTAAAATGTCTCCTTTGTAGACTTTTTCTTTCAAATTCCATGATTTCATCGGGGTTTAAAATGCGGCATAAAAGCAAAAAGGGGTTAAGCACAACTTTGCTGTTTGCTCTCATTTTCATTTGGCAAGCAGCACGTTGCTGTCAGTTTGAAAACGCCTTACTCAGTTGGTGGAAGCAGCCCAACATTTCTGTTGCCTTTTCATTATTAGTAATTGTCTTTTTGCAATGTTTACCATCTTGTCTGCTTTATTGTTGGTTCCTGCTCAGAGCAGAGGCAGAAATTCTGAACTTCCTTTCTGCCCTGGTCATCTTCCACCTACTTACGATGCTGGATCCGTGTGAGATTTTTAAATTCTTCCACGCCCTCCTTTACTCCCCTCACCAAAAACCCCCAAAATCATTTGAGAAAGAAGAAACTGGGTGTTGCAGGGGTCTCCCCGTGGCGGGGAGCAGCAGTGCTGCTTTGCAGCTGGCACAGAGCATTGCTGGCACTCCAGCTCTGTGCAGACCTTGCAGAGCGGGGGTGGGTGGTCCATGCAAGCTCTGGAGCTGCTTAATTGTCTTGTGAGTGGGACCTTGGTGTTCATAATGCAGAGCTTGCTGCCAGCCCCATAGTAACAGAGTGGCTGAGGACAGCACAGGGGAGTTCTTGGTTTTTTTCTCTGACACTGACTCCTGGTTTTTGTTTGTGGCTCTCCTCCTTCCCGTTTTTTTCTTCTTTCTGTAAGGTTTGGAATTTCAGGACTGCACTGATTTCTGGGCTTGTTTACCAGGGCTTGTCTCAATTTCTCCACCCAGGGATGCTTTGATGCAGCTATTTACTCATGCAATGTTGCTGCTGCCCTTTCAAATTGTAATTAACCAAAAAATTAACGTGCAGATACTGCTGAGCCCTTCAATATGTGACTGTTGAAATGCTAAAAAATGTAAGATTTTTAAAGACAATTTGTGACCTGCATTTTAAGGCTTGTTCTTGTTGGAGCTTTTCTCAAGTTTCCAGGATTGTTTTTTTTATTTTAATATTGACTTAAAGTCACTTAATTTTGAGGGATTTCAGCCAGAGCTGTGTTTGAGCTCCCTCTGATGGGCCTTGCAGTCTTACCTTGGAAAAAAAGACCTCCCCAAACTCCAAAAGCTGCCAGTGGGTGCAGTCTCCCACCCCACCTGTCCCGGAACAAACCCAGGGAATTAAACCCAGCTTAATGGTGATGTTTGGGGACACTGTGCAAAATTTCATCACCCTCTGTGTATTTTTAGGTGTTATCCAAAGTTCTGAGTGGCTTTTGTTGAGTTCCTGAAAACCATGCAAAGTGAAAAGTTCGTGTTTATATTTTAAACCTGGCTAATTTCAATACAAAATCCTGTTGTAGTTTAATTTTGTCAAGGGGAATATGTTGTAATAGCCTAGATTTGATTTTTATTTGAAATAAAAACGAAGTAAAAACCCCACAGTTTGTGATGGAGTGTGTGTAAAACCCACACACATCCCCCTGCCACAGAATTTGTGCTCAAGAATGAGGCACTCAGTGGTTTTCTGGTTCCTGTAGAAGAGATCAGAATGTCTCTTTGTACATCCCCAGCTCAGCGCTGGATGCAGATAATATGCAAAACAGTATTTAAAAGCTTAGTTAAATCAGGAATGCTAATCTGCTTTTAAAAATGAGAAGCACTAATGATGATGATGATGATGATACAGAGCTGCAGTGGTTCCTGATGTCTTCAGCAGGTTTTTATTAAATAATGTGATACAAAAGAAATTCCTGGTGACGTAAGAGTGGTTTTGAATGTCTGAGAGATATTAAAGAAATGCATCAAAATCAGGGCTGAGCCCTCCTGGCACAGAGATTGATGCTTCCAGCTGGCAGCTCAGCTCAAAAGTGACTTTCTCTCAAACACAAAGGTGAATTTTCCAAGCTGAAGGGGTAGTTTTTTCTCCATTAACTCTCCCATAGTTTGCACATTTCCAGACCGAGACATGAGTGCTTTGTGCTTCACCTGTGCTCACCCCTGGTGGATTTCCTTCTCTGGTGATCCCAGGGTCACCGAGGCTGCAGAGCCCTCGCAGCCCGGCCTGTGGCCCGTGCCCAGCCCGTGCCCAGCCTGTCCCCAGCCCGTCCCCAGCCCGTCCCCAGCCTGTCCCCAGCCTGTCCCCACCCCGGGCACTGCACCCTCCTGCACCCAGCACCCTTTCCCTGCAGGGATTCCTGCCGGGGCCCGGCCTGGCAAGCTCCAGCTGTTCCTCTCTCTGGCCCTGGGGAGCAGGACCCCAGCAGAGCAGGGCTGTGGAGCCCCGGGGTGCTCCGGTGCCAGCACCTCGGCCTGGGCCAGCAGTGCCCTTCATTCTTGGAAGGAATGTTTGTAAATCAGGGGTGAGAGGCAGAGGGGACTGCCAGGGCACAAAGAATCTCTGTTCTTGTGCAGCCCTTGGCTTCCCTCAGCCTGCCTGAGCTGTCCAAGGTAAACACAGAGCTCTGCTGTGCCATCCTGGGAAACTGCACTGAGCAGGGCAAGCTTTCTTCTGGCAAACCCAGGCAGCTTTTGTTAGAATTTTTGGAATTTGGTTTTTTTTTAAGGAGACAATGACTTTTTTACTGATTGTCCCATCACTCCCACACAGCACAGCTGCTGTTGGACAAAGTCTTTCTGTGTGCAGTGGCCAAATCCCTGGGCGTTAATGGTGTAGCAGGGCTGGGAAGGCTCTGGGAGCACGTGAGGCTGAATTGTACAACTGCTGCATTTCGGGTGTTTGGTTGTAATTCTCAGGGTGAACATGTGGGACTCAGCTCCTGCTGCTGCTTGGGTTTTATTTAGCAGCAGCACTGGGTGGTAATTTGCATTTATAGAAGGTGCTCATTTAGGAAGAGCATTTGTTCTCAAGGTGAGGTACAGTCAGTTCTTCCAGTTCTTTGGGGTGGATTCGGGGTTTTCCCCTCAAAACAAGCTGCAGAGGGGAGCTGAGCCTGTGGTTACACTGGAAAGGGGGAGGTGTGGACGCTGAATCTCTTGGTTTATCAGTCAGAAATTGAAATTTGTGGTGCAGTCTTTGAGTTCCAGCTGTGGCTGTGGAAGTGCCAGAGGTGCCAAAGGCCTCGGGGCCAGGAGGGGCTGGTGCTGAGTCAATCTGGGTTCTGTGCTGGCCAGAGCATCTCTGCGTGAGCAAAACTCCTCCCCACAAAGCACAGCCACAGCAATTGTGCCTCCGAGTGATTTTCAGGAGTATTTGGTATTGAAAAATGATTTCAGCAGTGTGGCCTGGGGTGAGCTATGTTCGGGGTCTGTGAGGTGGAAGGGAAAAGGAGCTGCTGCTCCCAGCAAGGGGACAAGGAGGGGAAGCCCCAGGGCCTGGGCAGCCCCAGGGCCTGGGCAGCCCCAGGGCCTGGAAAGCCCAGTGTGGCTGTGCTTGTGTGAGGACGTGGGCTTGGCAACCATTTTTACCTGCTCTTGGGTTTCTCCATCAGATTGGTTCTTATCTAATTTTTTATCAAGTAAACTGCCTTTTTATTTTTCTCACTATCTCAGAAACAACGTTTATTGAAATCCCCCTGCTCCTCTCCCTGACACCTTGTTCTCCATTTTATAACCAATTTATCAGTGCATTGATTTTGGTTGGGAAGCTCTTCCTGCACTTCAGG